AAATGACACCCCTTTTACGAGTTTTTTTTTACTTCAACTTGCGTACCATATTTTATTCAGGGGAACCCCCCCCCCCCCGCGGTCATGTGTATTTTGTTGTTCTTCACATGGAGAATGGAGATTCAAGACAAATATCATTCACGTTTTTCAATACATTATAACGTGCGTTTTTTTAATTATGATTCAACTGACCATTACTTGTTTGTGCCACCATGAGGGACTGTGTTTTTGCGTTAGCTTTTTTGACTTTATCCCCCCCCCCCTCAATCGGCGTTTTACCATGCATGATATAGCGGGTGCAGTCAACAAGTGATGTACCTTAAAAATGATACTTTGTATGACGAAATACATTTACTTGTAGATTGTTAGTTAGACTGAGTTAATTTTGACTAACGTTTTCGCTCAAAGAAGTCGCCACCGGGTTCAATTTTATTCAATGGGTTTTAAGTTTAATAGTGCATCTAGCTGCCAGAGAAGATAGGTGAAAATAAAACCCAGCGATTAATTAAGTCTTATACAGTACTAAAAGAGTTCTACCATCAAATCTAAGCGTAGTGGAATCGAATCTAGATTATTTGTAATATATTACAGCGTAGATTAGTTTGTTGAAACCGTGATGAACGGCTATCGAGGAATGTTCTAAATATGATTCATTGGAAGAACGGGAAATTCTAAATAGGTTATTTATATCGCCCCAAGATTGTAATTTATTCTTAATATTTATGTTGCAGTTTTGTTCATTAATTGATTAAAAGTAAATAATGACCTAGATTTGTTTACAAGCCACCTTGGATTTCCGAAAATACAACAAAATGCGATAAAATTGGTTAAAAAATGAAATAGTGCAGTTTTTGCAAAAAGGAGTAGTGATTGACATTTTTTCACGGTCACGCCATCTTTTGCGTTCTAGCTCAACTCGATTTATATTTCAATCTAATTGAATTAAGAACCCAGAAAATATTTGTTATTAAATTCACACACAAAGCAAAAAAAGTTTAACGACCCTGTATCTAGCGCCCTCTTTCATATTGCTCACTCTCCCAAAGATTTGATCACGTACCGGGTATTTTATTTAATATTTATATTTTCAATATGAAAAATACAAATAAATAAACACACAAAAAAACAAAGGCTGAATGAAATTCTAACGACTTTATATTTATCAACGTCTTGTATTTTAGTTACTCATTGCCCAGGAGAATATGGACTATGAAAGTTTTATTATATTATTAAAATTTTCAACATAATAAATACAATTATTATACATCTGTCACCGTACGCCATAAGTTACAGCGTACCGTAATTTTGCGGTATTTTACGCGCATTTTCATCCTGTTCTAAACATTTTGAATTTCGGCATTCCCATGGTGTATCCTTGGTAGGAAAAGATGTATAACAAGGTTATTACAAGAATACCTCAAAGTTTGCACCGAGACGGTACGCCACGTAATGACCTCCACATCGATACTCCAGTTGTACTGTCTTTGTGCATACTTTAAGGCATTCTCGTAATAACCTTATACATGTAGTATACTCAGATACAGTTCGCTCAGTTTTAAATTGTTTAGAAAAGGAACATCCAGTGTAGTTTGAGATGCATTGAAACATGTATTGACTGGTCCCACTAGATTGGCCAAGCTTTGGCACTTTTTTGATACGAGATACATGTATAAAGGATATTTTTACTCTGTTGCTACCTCTAGATATGCAGTTAAAGGGCGGTGGTCGTCGCATTGCATATGCGACATTTGTGTTGATAAACAATGATTTTACCACAATCCAATACGCTCTTCTAATAGAAATGACAAGTATGAGGTTTGACCTGCGCGCTACTTGCACTAATTACAACCGATGACTCCTTCGATACCTTCCAATCACCAAAAAATTACCTAATTAAAGCTTGGAAACATCTCAGTTTGTACTTGACAATCTGCACAACAGTCAGTCGCCATCTTTGTTTATACAAGACCCATGTATCTCGCGTATGCCATACTCTCCCATTGTGTACCTGTATCCGAGTATACTTGTGCGTGATTTTAACAAATATTTTCTGAGTTCTTAATTGAATAGTTATATTTTTAAGCAAGCCTGGGTGATTTTATATTCTAAGCATTCTAGAAAGACTAATAAACTTCACATTTTAACACTAATATTTATTAAATATCTAAAATATGGACGCATTACAAGTTAATAAAACTAAAACTACCATAGGGAGGCAGCAGTCTTCTAAAACACTTTTGAAATGTCAAGCCTCAAGTAGTGTACACCGTTAATGTGTTTTTTTGTGTTTTATTTATACATAAGACTGTTGTAAAAAATATTTATTAAAGAATTAGTTTGATTTTTACTATAAATACATTTACTGTGAATAAAAAATGTACTTGACAATAGTTATATATTATTTTAGAAGAATCACTCAATAGTATACTGCTTTTCTATAAACAGAAAAAGTAGCTTTGGCAAAAGTATACATTTTTGTAGCTTAGGCTGGTCGTGTCCCTTTTTTTGAAAAAAACAAAAATGTGGCAATAAAAAAAAAGGAGAATTGCAAAAAAACTAAACAAAAAACTACTTTTATCAATTGCAATGCATCCTCAATTCCTTAATAGTGGTGTAACAGGGTTAAACCAATCTGAAACTACTGTATTTGCATAATATGCAGTTCGTACCATTTTTTCAGATAAACTTTTAGGTGATATCCTGCATTCAGTTGGCATTTGAAAGATTTGGCCCCTAAAGACTCCACCTTGATTTCCAGATAATCACTTGGCTTGTTTTCCACACACCAGGTCATATGATATGCAAATTTGAAGCAATTGAAGATTTTTAAGGAGCACAAGCAGTTTTTTTTGTTTTGTTGTTGATCATTTGTGTTTTACAAATGCCATGGTAATTGATATTTCATTATTGCATTTATTCAATTAGAAACGAACAACATTTTAGGTTTGTATATTTCTAATGGTAGCTGAAATTCAGGGGGGGGGGGTTATGATACACTCCTTTTGGCTTATATACCGGTAATCAATTTAATACCATTGGTAAGTTCATTATTTGGTCGTGGGGGACAAACAACGAAATTTTCGCTCACAAAAAAAAAAAATTGCAATAATTTTTCAGCAATAAATTTGCGGTAACTTTTCCCATGAAATGTAGTATGCATTCATGCATACAACAGATATTGCAACATTATGGTGTCATTAACTGTTGCAGGAAATTAAAATATTTACAATTATTATACATCGGACACCATAAACAATAGAATTTACCCATTCATAAAAAGCTGAACGAACATGTTCGAAAGTGGTATAGACAATTTTTAAATGACTTCCTTATTTGGAAATCTTGCATCATTTTTCTTTCACATTTGAACACTTAGTGTATTTTAAATGCAGAAGTGATGGAAATAGAATCCAGTCACTGAACACCAATATTCACACAGCAAGAAATGGTCATTGCTATTTCAAGCTGTTATCTTCCATTTAATTATTACTACAAGTAGGGAAAAGATGTATAATAAAGTACCGCGAAGTATGCACAAAGGCAGTTATTGTTATGCATTGACCTTCACTACACGTCTGTCGACATACCTAGTCACTATACTGCCATCATGCATACTTTGCGATATTCTCATAAAAATCTCACATTACATGCAGGGAGACATAAAAGGCAACTGTCTTCATGCCAAAGAATATTAACCTTGTGCTCTTCAAAAAATTTTCTCCATACTATTCCTATTTGCCAAGACAATTTTGTCTTTAAAATGGGTGGCCTCTGAAAATAAAGCTCTGTACATGTATTCCACATGGACATTTAGAATAGGGATTGCTAGTTACCAAAGTGTCATTTTGGGTTTATTTATGAGATTCCTAATAATATTTTTTCAGCAGTGTTTGCTAGTATAGTAAGTGAATCAGACTGTTTGCTGCTATTTTGTACACATGGTGTACTGTCCTTTGATTCACTGCTATCAGAATTTACATCTCCTGAATACACATATTGAA